AATTCGTCATCTTGCAAGAGCATATTATCCATTTACTTCCCCGAGCTAAACTTGGGCGGGAGATATTTTTTGTATCCCAAAATTTGGGATGTAATCTCTAGAACCCCAAAGATCAACCTCCAAAAATAAACAAAAATAACAACCAACCTCAAACAATAAATAAAAATTCACACTCAATGTTCATGCACACTCAATGTTCATGCACTTATAGATCTATTTGGTTTGAACCATTTTTAGAGTTTAAAATTCTATCATTAGAGATAAAAATAGATCCCCGTACCATCTTAATAATTTTTTTCAGCACCATCCTAATAATATTTTGTCACCAAAATTGCATCTCATGACGAAGTATAGAGATACACCTTATTTGATTGTTTAAGGTTGCAACCTTGTGGAAACCACAGTTACCAGGAGTGCCCAACTAGGGTGGAGCTCCCCTTACACAACCCAGCTCCGGCCCTCCGTGGCCGGGATCTCGTCTAGAACCCATTCCCAAATTTTTGGGAGCTCGCTGCTATTTTTAAGATTCTCGATCTCATTCACAATGAAGCTTGCTCATGTTACTACACGGATCTCGCTCCCACTGTCCTACGGAACATGGTCCCGAACAAATTAGATCCCCGCTCCCAAAATTTTAGGATTGTGATCCCTATGTTCCCAGAACTCCATCCTTAGGGAGGATCCCACCATGAACAAAAACAAAGCCACCCACCATTAAATTAGTAGGGTTATTAGCTAAAAATTGCATAGAAATTGGGCCTCTAGGAGTCAAAGAGGCTATTCTTGCCCTAATTGGCTATTCTTGCCCTAATTCCAGATGGCTAATTTTTGGGTACTCAATTAAAAATATTAATTTGCTTTTCCAATCCTTTCCAAAGGTTTTTCATTTTAATTCCTATAGAAAACCAGTCACCACAATTCGTCAAGGTCAACTTTTATAACATACCTGAAATCTCCTTGTATATTTAGACTTTCATGGTTTCCCTGTAAAATTAACAGCTTCCCATTTGATTCCTTGTATATTCAGGCTTTCATGGTAAAATTAACATCCTCCCATTTGATTTCTCTACGTCTTGCTTGGGTTAAAGGAGCTTGAATTCTTCTCCTCCTCCTCTGTCAAGGATATCACCAAGCTTCACAGCCATTGCTTGAGTTAAAGGAGCTTGAACTCTTCTCCTCCTCCTTTGTCAAGGATATCACCAAGCTTCACAACCATGGAGTTGCCGATAATCCAGTGAATAGTTTTTCATCAAAGATTTTAGCTATTTTCAGAGCTTGCTTGGCCCTTTGGAGATCGCCATGGAGGTCCTTAACTGCTACAAAGTGAGGTTGAGATGGGTATGTAGATTTTTGTTGTTGTTGTGCTTTCTGAGGAGAAAGAAAGAGTCCACTCACTGTGAAGTCAGACAAATGTGTTCATGAAGTTAAAGAAAGAGAGGGAGGTTGAAGAGGTTCGGAGGTTGAAGAGGTGATGAATGTCTGGTCAAGAGAGAGAGAGAGAGAGGACATGTGGAGATTGGCTCCAAGTTAAGCGAAACGCAATCCAACCTTGAGGTTGAAGAGGTGGTGAATGTCTGGTCAAAAGAGAGAGAGAGAGGACATGTGGAGATTGACTCCAAGTTAAGCGAAACGCAATCCAACCTTGAATGGAGCTCGATCCATTCCAAATAGAAAAGTATTTTTCGTAGATGGGGCACAACTCAACTTTAAATGGGATCCCGTTCATGTTGTCTATGGGTCATGGGAACATGATCTCATTTTATATGGAACGCGTTCCCATTAAATAAAGATATCGATCCCAATATATCGGGAATATGTTTCCTATTCATATAGGATCTCGATCCGCAACTTTTACCCCCACCGAAACTCGCTCCACAAGCTCCAGAGTTTTAGATAGCCCTCAATCCAACACTTCCACTCCCAGTGAGTATAGTGGAAACCACACCCTTTTCAAAATAATAATATACTTCCACTCCCAGTGAGTATAGTGGAAACCACACCCTTTTTAAAATAATAATATAGAGATACTTATGTCCCAAAAGTTTGGATAAAAAAGTCCACTTGAATGGTATCAACCTTGTGCGGACCAAGACCTTTTCTTTAAAATAATAATCTACAGATACTTAGAAAGATACCCGAACTTACTTTGAATAAAAGAAATCCCGTTCTTTTAAAGGGTGCGGTTTGTATAGAGCTTAGGCTCAAAACAATCAAATTAGAGCCTGTCTTCAAATAGTATCAAGAAATATGGTTTCAATACCGAAAATCTTTTTGATAACCTTAAAATATATTTTTATTTTTATTTATAAAGTATATAGCTTCAAAAATAATGTAGATCGAGAGATCTATGAAAACTTGAAAATCTTGAAATTCGACGGTCTAAAAGTGCGTTACAAAATACAAACACTATTTCCAAAACTCGAAATGTCCATACATATTGATATTGAGATGATGAACTTGAGGATATTTAGGCATCAAAACAATATCTTATAGTGAAATTTTTGAGGTAGGCTCGAATTTGATTGTTTAGAGCCTCGGCCTAATGGAAAACTTTGAATAAAAAAAGTCCCTTCATTACCTAATGGAAAAAGTGTATGTGTAAGGCTCTAAACAATCAAATTAGGAAGCACTTTAAAAATTTCCCTAGAAGATGTCCAAATATCCTCAAATTGATATCTCAATCTACACTATATTTTTCTTTAAATGCTTATACAAACTGCATCCATATCTAACTTACCCAAAAGTGCATCCTATACCTAAATTCACTAAGATGGATGGAGAAAGATAATGGGAAATAGTTTTTTTGACAAGGTTTGAGAGAGAGATTGAATTCTTAAAAAGTATATGAGATCACCATTATCATCATAGTGTTTTTCCAACTAATTAGTGTTTGGTTACACTAATTTTATTTGTCTAAGGGAGCCTTAATGAGTCCCCATTTATTTATTCATTTACTACTTCTAATTACAATGGGGTATGGTATTGAAATACAGCCAGTGGAGTACCCAATTACCATTGGGACCAAATGGAGTATACTTCTAACTTTTCAGCATCAGACCAGACAAACATAAGCCTGACTTCCAAATAACTAAAAATTAAGGCTTAAGGCTGAGAGAGAGACAGAAATTGATTTTCTACCTAACAATATACAGGAAAGACATAAAACATCAGAATGATTAATAACTACTACAAATCAGTGAAGAGGGATTTTAGTTGGTAAAAAAACACCAGAATTATTTTGAGATTTGAGAAAGATTTTCTACACAAGATACAAGATAAAACATAAAACATCAGAATGATTGAGAACCACAAATCAGTGTAAAGGAATTTCACTTGCCATAACAACCAAAATTATATTGAGATTAGAGAGAGAGAGATTTTCAACATAACAAGAATACAAGAGAGAAAACATCAGAATGATTAAGAACTACCACCAACACAGAGACATCAGTTAATATTGAGAATCGAGAGAGAGAGAGAGAGAGATCTTTTTCAGGCACAACCAAAGAAACCACAAATAAATTCAGAAACAGAAAGGGCCAAGTAGATTGAAATCCTTCCCATCCAAACACCACCAATTCCCACCCCATTTTCTCACAAATCTTAAAAGAGGCCTCTAAAAGGCCCCAAAAACTATTTACAAATACTCTTCCAAACCAAACAAACCCAACCCTTCTACAACTCTTCCCATCAACACTATGCCATCCCATACCCATAACCCACTTCCCTTTCTCTCTCTAAACTCTCTCTCTAAACAACCCCCTCCTCCCCAACAAAGAAGCAACATTAAAAGCACACCAACCCTCTCTCTCTCTACTAAAACATTTAACTCAAAGCCGCAAACCCCCCACCTCTCATCATCTGCTTAAACTCCTTGAAATCAACCATTCCGTCTCCATCTTTGTCCACTTTCCGAATCATTCTCCTGCAATCATCAACTGTTCTTCCCTGTTTCAGTCCGAGAGAGCCCAAAACCGATCTCAATTCCTCAACCGTGATGAACCCATCTCCGTTTTGGTCGAAAACATTGAAAGCCTCTCTCATATCCTCCTCTTCATCTTTCTCATTCATGATGGATTGGTAGAGAGACGAAAACTCGTCCATGTCAACGCATCCATCTCCGTTCGCGTCGATCTTCTCTATCATGGTGATCAAATCCTTGTCCGGTATATAAATGCCGAGATTTTCGAGCGAATCACTGAGCTCTTTCTTGGTTATTCGACCGTCGCCATTGCGGTCGAACATCTGGAAAACCCTTTTGAGTTCAGCCGATTCCAAGGTGTTCTCCATTGTTTCTGGGCCGGAATTGCAGAGTTCCGGGCAATGGAGGAGAGAGAAAGGGCCTCGAGAGAGAGAGAGGAGGAGGGATTACGAAAGTCGTACAGAGCCCGAGCTCTCGACGACCCTGTTACATAAACAGGGAGGAGGAGAGGAGAGAGAGAGAGAGAGAGAGAGAGAGAGGTGGATTCTTAAGAGAGGAAGGTATGGATGGGCTTAATAAAGGAGGGGAGCGGTGCTGGAACAAGCCGTTACGAATGAACGGTTGAGGGTAGAGAGAGAACGAGATGGGTTTGCAGAGAGATTGGTTTAAACGCGTAGGCAGTTGAGTACTTATAAAACGGCGAGATTTGAGGGGACAACCGCGTTCCGTTGATGGAAGGCGCGTGAACCTTATAATACTCTCCTTTGTATCTATCTTTTTAACTTGTCTATCCATCTAACTTTTAGAGAGAGAAATTCAATTTTTTTAAGAGAGAGAGAACAAAAAAAGGGTAGAAATACCTTTAGTGACAAATAAGTGGGAAACTTTTTTTATTCTACAAGGGTACGTTTGATTCGCGTGGAAATATTCTTCAAGCAATACTATTCAAGAGTTATTTTCACATGAAAATATTCTCTTATTTGCTTAGGTTAGGTGTAGCTATATTTGCACATCAATTAACTATAAATTAGTCTTAAAAGATGCAATACACCGATTGTTATAAAAATATTCTCACATTTACCCACATGATAAAATGCTTTTACGTAAAAATATTTTCATGTGAAACAATACTCTGTTCAAGAGATATTTTCATGTGAAAAAATTCTTTCATTTGGTTAGATGCAGGTATATTTTCACGCCACTTAACTATAAATTACTCCGAAAAGATACTACACCAATTGGTATAAAAATATTCTCACACCTATACACATCATAAAATACTTTCGCATGAAAATATTTTCATGTGAAAAAAAAAATGCGTCAGACAAAAAGATGCTACACCAATTGATGTAAAAATATTCTCACATCTACCCACATGATAAAATACTTTTGCATGAAAATACTTTCATGTGAAACAAACGTGCGCCAGACAAAAATTTGATGTAATATACGTTTCTAGAGGGGCGAAAACGAGTAAGAAAATTTCCCTTATTGAACAATTTTTTTCTTGATGAAATGATAGAGAGAGTTACCAAATGACCCAGTGTTTTTTCATGATAAGAAAAGTCTTTTAATTTTTTAATGGAGATTGCTCGAGTGTAATGAGAGGTGGATAGGCCCAAATGCCTTTTCTTTATGACCATGGTCCATGGGTCCATTATTTGTTGGAGAAAACAATGAAATATCTCTTGTTTTGATGTGATCATAAATTATGCTTTTGTTTGTCAAGCTTAAAGAGGACGGGATAATTGGCATCAATCTCTTGGACAACCAGTACCGGTGTTTTATGATTCATAATGGGTTCCAAACTGGCCCATTGGTGAAGATCCGGATCAGTGATTCTGATTTGAATTGGTCGATTTTTTATGGTAAAAATATTAAAACCAAAAATATTGAAAATTAAATTAGGTGGGACTTGTCTTATTCTTTAACGTAGTTTGTCGATTTTTTTTGACATTATTATCTGGTTCTCTAACAGAATTGGACGATTTCCACATACTATTTATTCTTGGTTATGTAAGGGGGCTGAGTCGATCACCTGAACTCAATATCAATTATTGATCCAAATAAGCATTTTATAAAAGATTGATTAGTACAAATCCTGAGAGCAATGAAGTTTCTCAACTCTGTCCAGTGGAGCTCAATTTGATCTACTATTGTATTGTTTGGAAGAATGGTGAAATATTTTTTTTCAATGTTGAAACATCACGAGAAAATCGATGATCCAGATCAAATTTGATGGGTGGACAATCTGGGCCTCTCCCCCCAAAGTCCATTGGGCCTACTTTTTTAGAAATTGTTTTTCACTATTTCAGCCAATAAGAATCTGTGGATGGGCGATCCAAAAAAGGTTATAAACACTAGTTAATGGGTTGTTTGGGAATTGATATTTGTAAAATTTAATTATGCATACAAATTCTAATATTAGTAAAATATGATTTTAATAAGGAAAAGTTTATATAGAGCCGAGGCTCTAAACAATCAAATTAGAGCCCACCTCAAAAATTTCATTAGAAGAGGTTGTTTTGATGGCCAAACATCTTTAAATTGATCATCTCGACATCAAGATGCAAGGACATGAGAAAGAAAATCGGATTTTAAGTTTTTAAAATAGTGTATCTTCTAACGCATTTTTTGAGCGACTATGTTTAAGATTTTCAAAATTTAATAAATATGTTTGATCTACGCTATTTTTTAAATTGTAAATTTTATAATTAAAGATGAAATATATTTTAAGACTATCACAAAAATTTATAATATTAAAACCACATTTCATGGCACTTTATTTTGATTGTTTAGAGACTTGGCTCTACACAAACCGCACTCAGCACTCAGCACTCAGTAAGAAATAGTGTTATTTGGGCAGATAAACCTACCGCACTCAATAAGAAATAATGTTATTTCGGCAGAAAACCTTAGTTATGAATTTTATTACTATTTATTGTACTTATAGTTAGTTCTTTGTGGACTTTTTGTTTTTTTATATATTTTTTGTTTAAAGGGTTTATAACTTTATATTGTAGGGAGACTTAGTGAAGAGATCGAGGCATAACGGTAATCGGACAGATGGACGGTCAAGATCGCTCCAAGGCCAATAAATTGACCGCCCGTTAATTGTACGGAAGATCTGAATAACCGTTAGATCAGATGATCCAACGGCCGGCAGCAGGCCCAAAAGCCGCCGTCCGCCACGTGGCGAAAAGAGAATGGTCGAGACTCCGAAGCCGTGGGGTTTGTTTTTTAGCCAGTAAACAAAAAGTTAAGGGTCACGTTTGCTTATGTTTACCTTCACAAGCCCTATCTTTCTTAAAAATCACAAATTTGTCCCAAGACCTGGAAATTGACGCTTTTGCCCCGAAGCACGAGATGAACTTTTAACACAAAAATTACCTAAAATAAGTGATAATTACGGAATAATTCGTATAGACCCGTCGAAAACTATATGTTGTCATAATAGGCCCTTTATTATTCACTCACAGTTCAGCATTAAGGGGAAAATTCGACAGAAACATATTTATATGCAAAATATTTACATGTGGGAAACGTTTATATAGAACCGAGGCTCTAAACAATCAAATTAGATCCTACCTAAAACATTCCACTAGAGGTTGTTTTGATGTTCAAATGTCTTCAAATTAATCATCTCCAATCAAATTATATCCTACCTAAAACATTTCACTAGAAGCGGTTGTTTTGATGCTCAAATATCTTCAAATCAATCATCTCCAATCAAATTATATCCTACGTAAAACATTTCACTAGAAGCGGTTGTTTTGATGCTCAAATATCTTCAAATTAATCATCTCCAATCAAATTATATCCTACCTAAAACATTTCACTAGAAGAGGTTGTTTTGATGCTCAAATATCTCCAAATTAATCATCTCGACATCAAGATGTATGGATACGAGAAAAAAATGGATTTCAAATTTTAGAAATAGTGTATGTTGTAACGCATTTTTGGACGGTCAATTTCAAGATTTTC